TGTGCCGGCGTGCTCCTTCCTCATCCTCACTGCTGCCCGAGCTGCCGCGCTCCCAGCAGCGTCTGCGCACAAGGTAGGAACAGGAGCCAGCAACATTTACAAGCCATGCCCAAAACTCCAGCTTCAGGTCCAGCTTTCTGTTCCCTTGTGCATAAAGCTACACTAGCTCAAGTACTACTTTTTTTTTTTACTAATTAAGAGAACAAAAGTTTGAACCAGTCCAGTTTACCTTTTGGAGTGATGGTACATGCCATCTTCATAATGATTTGTGATCTCACTTTCACTAGAGAAGAACATCCCCCCCCCAAACCTGACCAAACCTTCTGAAAACGTCAAAATTTTGCTCCACAGCAACCCGAGTTACTCAGGAGATGTACACGAGGTGGCAAGAGACGTTCCTCCAGCCACAACCCTCGCAGGCTGTTTCCCACCAAACCCTGGCCGATGGGTCCCTCCCGCCCTGAATGCCCAGGCCAGGCACAGAGGTGGGCTCCGGGCTGTGCCAGGGTTTCCCTGCTACAAGCCCCCGGGCTGTAAAAGCCCTCTGCCTGGGGCCCTGCTCTGCTCAGCCAGGCTCTGAACTGCCTCAAAGGAGCACAGCTTCTCCTACAGAGGAACCCGGTTCTAACCCAGACACGAGGGTTTAACTGAAAACAATAAGAGTAAATGAGAGCAACACAAAATACGTCTGGTAAGAGGCTCATAGGCATTTTCTTCCAGACACCTATCATGAGTTCTGCTTGCTCGTTAGGAGTCTTTTCTACACTGCATTACAATAACCATGCTCTTGTAATAAACCCAATTAGTCTTGATTACACTTGTGACAACATTGTTAAGGTCACCAAGATCCCCGAGCTGGTCAGCGCCTTCTTACACCAAGAAATAATCAGATAAACGCTTGCAGAACTTGCTCGTTTTCAGCATCACAATTAAGAAAATAACCCCAACGAAATTAAGACAGTACTTGCAGCCTCATCTTTGGAATCGCTTTAGCCTTTCATCTGTTATAAATTTATTTAAATAATCTGCGTAAGTGAAGCAGAAGCACATAAAGTTGTTAAGTTTCCTGTTTTGTTAATACACAGACCACGTCTTCCACTGAGACTTCTCTCACAGCATGTGCAGATTTCCTATACTAACCACCAGACACAGCTTACTAATTAAGATTACTATTATTTTTACATAGCACATGCTATCATTCAATATAAAAAAAAATACCCCCAAATGCATTATAGGTTTTATTTTGCTAGTACATGAAGCTGCTATGAAGAAGTAATATATCCTAGCACTTTCCTTGTTTACTTCGTGTGACTGAATTAATCTGTTCATTCTAAAAGGATCCTGTATTACTATTAATAAAGCAAACACCAAAAAGTATGTTGTATTATTGATATTTTAAGAAAAATCAGAACAAATTCTCCCCTCCTGTAGAGGACTACTCTCACCAAACTTGCTCTACTATTCATCCTTAGTATCTGACAAGGAAAAGAGCCATAAATTTTACTGAAAAAGGCCCATCAGCTGTTCTACATTAACTGAAAATATTAATAGCAACTTATTTCAGTAGCGAGACAGCACTTTACAAGCAATTTAAACCAAAGGAGAAAGTTGCTGCGATCTGTTTTCACAGCCAGGTTACGCTTGCACATAACACTGTAATATTTAACCGAGACGCCTCAGCACATCAGTGCCAACGATAAGCTGCTTTCTGCCCCCAAAACGCTCTCCTCCCATTTTAAATGTGATAGACACGACCAAACTAGTGTATCTCCATAAACTGAACAAGTAGATTTAGTACGTTACCATATTATCTGGCGTTTACCTCAAAAGCACAGTTATTAAAGCGGAAAATGTTACCATCCCTGCCTTCTCCTAATCCCTAGGCTGCAAGTGATCAAGAACTGAGAATGTTGAGAAAACTGAGAAGGTACTTGAGGAGACATTACTACTGCAAGTCCAACCACGCCTTCTCCTTCAAACAGGCAAATCCTGAAGCAATGACTAATGTAAAATTATCACGGAGCAGAAGGTTATTTAAGAAGTACAAAGGTCTCTGGGCCAAGCGGGCCCTTCAGCCCCCCCGAGCCGCTCCTGGCGAGCCCCCGGCGCGGCAGCGGGGAGGGGGAGAGGCCCAGCGGCGGCTCCGCGCCGCGGCGACGGCTCCCGGGGGCGTTCGCCCTTCCCCCCC